CACCACCACCACCACCAGCACCACCACCACCATGACCACCACCACCACCACCACCAAGATGTTACCAGGATCCCTTGTGGTGCAATGGTTAGGCACTAGGCTGCAAACCGGCAAGGCTAACGGTTTGAACCCACCAACCACTCGATGAGAGAAAGAGGTGGCAGTCAGCTTCCAAGAAGACGAGAGCCTTGGAAACCCTCAGGGTGGGGGTAGGGGTGTGATTGGGGGTGGGGGAGGGCAGCTATGCTCTGTGCTGTAAGGTCCCGGTGAGTTGGAATGAGCAAAGAGTGTTTGGCTTTAAGAGGCTCTTACTCAAGACCCTCTACTCTTTTCAAAAGTAAGTGGACATACTTGGCGAAACTGGGGGGATGTCCTGCTGCGCCCGTTCCCAAATAGAAAGTCATTACAAAAAAGAAACCCGCAAACCACACGTGACGTGTTTGTCCTGGTGGACCTTCTCCTCCACCCCCACCCCAGCCCCCGGGGCAGCCCCCAGCCCACTCTCCAGGTGGCTTCCAGGACCCCCTGCTGTCTCTCTCCTCCACTCCTTAGCTTCTTCTCCAGGCCTGGTCCTTAGTGCACCCCACCGCTCCACCCAGGTACCTCCCCTTCTGGCTGACTCCAAAGTCATGCCCCCCCATTCAGAGTTTTAGTGCTCCTCACACACACCCTTGTTCCGGATCTAGCCTGCCAGTTCTCTGCCAAGGCCAGGGCCAGACCTGCCCATCCATGAACCCATGTAATCTCCTCATTGACTCCCTGAAGGGGAGTTACTCTTGTCACCGCATTGGACAGATGAGGAGGCTCTGCCTGTCAACTGTGCCCAAGGTCACTCAGCAATGAAGCAGCTGGGCTGGACCTTACACCCAAGTCCAGTCCCGGCTTCACCACCAGACACGAGTGCTGCTCACGCTGCAGAGAAAATAAAGCATGGGTGAGATGTCATGAAGGGCAAACGGTTGCATGGAAGCCCCCGGGGTGATCTGACCACCTGGTCCTGCCGATCACTGTGAGCAGCTTCAGACGGGCTCTCATCTCCCCTCCGTGCGGAGCAGGCTCTTTGGGAAGAAGATGTACAGTTGCCATCTCTTGCTTCAGAGACCTGGCACCATGCCTCTGCTGGTGCACCGAGGAGGAAGAGGACCTGGGGGAGACGTCCTTCCAAGTTTCCTTCGGTGCAGGGTGGAACAGTGACGTCTAAGGTCCGATGGTATCCGACACCTTGCAAACGGAAACAGGACGTGGTTCTTTCTCCTCCCCTGGTCCTTACTGAGTCCTCGCCGGGGTCAGGCCCGTGTTCGATGCAGAGTGGCCTCCCCCAGCTCCCAAGCCCACCACTTGCCCGGCAGTTTGTCACACGGTGTTGGCTGGTGTGTTGCTGTGATGCTGGAGGCCACGTCTCTGGTCTGTCAAATGCCAGCAAGGGTCCACGGTGGACAGTTTCAGGGGGCGCGTCCAGATTAAGAACCGACAGCGATGACAATGACGAAGGATCGGCTGCCTGATTTGGAGGGAGTAGCCATGAACACCTTGTGCATCGCGTTGAAACGTCTGGAAGGCCTCCTGAATGGAAGCAGAAGACTATCCGAGATGCGCTAGCCACTCAGGTCCCCGGGCCCTGGAGGATGTGTGTGTCTCAGAAGGCCCAAAGGGGGCAGTTCCTCTCTGTCCTGTCGGCTCCCTATGAGTCAAAAGCAACTGGGTGACACTGAATGAGACCGCCGCCGCCACCGTCATCGTCGTCACGATGAAGCGCAGTACATTGACTGGGTGCCCCGGAAGGATTAGGAAGAGTGAAAGAGCACCAATGAGAAATTCCAAGGCTCAAGCTCCAGGTCCTGCTCTGTCATGAATTGAATGGGTCAGTTGCTCTCAATGAAACAGAGCTTCCTCCTCTCTCATACAAGAAGGACAGGCTAAATCCATTTTTCGAAGGCCCCTTCTCATTCTAAATCTCTTGTAGCATCCTCCCACTCAACAAAACAGAGCAGCCCAGTGCTGTCAGATGGGAGAATCAAAAACTGCTCAGACCCAAGGAAGCAACAGAAGTGGGTGGATCTTGATTTATGGTTTAACTGATTGAGAGAGAGAGAGAGAGAGAGAGAGAGAGAGAGAGAGGGCTTTCATGAGAAGATGTGGTTTCAATTTGAAGATAACCCCACTGATGATTCTTGGATCTTCCAGACTTTCAGTAGTTTCTAGCACCTTCTAGATTACCAATCATGTCTGGATTCCATTACCTGACTTGCCGCTGAAGACAGGCTGTGAACTGCTGTGATTATCCCCTTTCACTAAGAAGGACACGGAAGGGCAGAGAGATTATTTCAGGTATTCGGCCTACGTGTACTTACAAGCATCTCCTGGATGCTGAGCATGAAGGGGCTGGATAACCCACGTGCCCCATGTCTCTGTGGTCCATCAATATTTGAAGGGTCCCAGATGCCCAACCACTGGGCGCAGAGCAAGAGAACAGCCATTGCCCATTTCATTCATTCTGTGCCTGTACTCATTCACTCATTCATTCATTCACTTACATAAGCAATTAGTGGATAGGAGCCATATTGAAAATAATGCAGATAATAAAGATATTGGACAAAGAACGAGCAGGAGGCTAGAGAAGTGTATGGGTGTTTGGGCGCGCGCGCGCGCGCACACACACGCTCCCCTAACAATGGCACAGAGTTGCCATTGCTGTCATGAAGACGGAGAACAGATGAATGGATGCAGATGAATGAAGTGCCCGGGAAGCTGGAGAAGGAGTGGTCCATCCTGCTGGAGGGAACACACGTTGGGTTAAAAGGACTTCACACAAGAGTCATCCCAGCTGGTCCAGGCAGAGAGAAGGAGAGTCAGGACAGTCCACACAGGAAGCTCGGCCTGAGAAAAGGCCAAAGGCTATGAAACGGCAGGGCTTATCAATAGGAAATGTCAAGTACACTGGGCTGCCAAGTACACTAGTGCTCACAACTGTGGACAGGGATGGAAGGATGAGCCTGGGAAGGTAAGTGAAGGCACACCTCTTGATCTCGCACGCCCCGCTCAGATGCAAGCCATTGGTTCTAGAAAATGGACGCTGTTCTTTGTCCTTGAACGATGCACTTTAAACACAACTGGTTTAAACACAGCTGACTGCAGTGATGTCTGTGTTGACAGTGTATCAGGAGTTTGACCACCTCTTGGAAGGGCAGTCTCCCATCGAGGCGTACATCGAGTGGCTGGATACCATGGTGGACCGGTGTGTCGTGAAGGTGGGTCAGCGGGAGGCGCCCCCTACCTCTGCCCTTTGTGGACATGTGGGTGGCACTGAAGGTTCCTTGGCAGCCATGGGGCCCTGGGGTTCGAGCAACAGTTCTGAGGGTGGTGGGAGGGCCCCCGGGCAGGTGAGACCTTGAGTCTCTCACCCTGGAGTCAGCCAGATCGGTGCCCCCCTCCCCTGTTCCGTGTAGTTGGGTTCTCTGTAATCTTTTATTTTTTTAAAAGCACATGTTTGCCACGAGAACCGAAAGTCTTAAAAAAAAAAAAAGCCTCGCTCTAAAGTTTTTCACTTGGAGACCCATAAGCCTTCCTGTCCTCTCTCTAGGAGAACATACGTCAAAGGTCAACTTGGTCACGACGAAAACCACTCACTTTCATGTTTCATGTAGGTTGCTGCCAAGAGACAAGGGTCCCTGAAGAAAGTGGCCCAGCAGTTCCTCTTGATGTGGTCCTGTTTTGGCACAAGGGTGATCCGGGATATGACCTTGCATAGTGCCCCCAGCTTTGGTAAGTGCCCCCCCTCACCACCACCACCACACACCCACACCTGACAGTGCCACAGTGCATGGCCACGGTTCATTCTAAGTGACTCGGGAAAGACAAGGTCTGCACACCAGTAGGACTGCTTGAGTTGAAAGAGAGACAAAGGCAGTGGCTGGGTCTCCCTTTTGCCAGCTGTCCCCAGCAATTGCTTACATGGCACCACGGGGCCTCGATCCAAATGATTTGCAAGTGGCTTGATTGGCACCCCAGCAGTGGAAAAACTCAAGGTCCTCATGGGTTTGGTTTGGTTTGGTTTTTAAAGCCTGCGCTAATCCACTTCCTGCGCAGTGAGAAAGAGGAAGACCCTCGAGGAGATGGTCTGCCACAGTGGGCTCGGGCGCAGGAACAGTGGGGGGGAGGATGGCGCAGGACCCAGAAGTGTTGCGTCCTGCTGTGCGTGAGGTCGCTATGCGTGGGAACCGACTGGATGGCACCAGGCAACACCAATCACTCCCAAGGAAGCCTGGGAGCACAGTGGGTTATGCCTTGGCCGGTTAGCCACAGCGGTCGCGTCTCAGACCCGCCAGCCTGGCTGCCGGAGAAAGACGAGGCGGCTCTACTCTGTCCGATAAGGTCGCCAGGAGCGGGCATTGACTTAGTGGCAGTGGGTTTGTTTTTCTGGTTTCTCGTCTGCTTCCTAGTTCGGGGGCTGGGGGCGGGCAGCGTCTGCACTTATTTCAATTCGGGGTGCTGTCGCCATCATCTCCGGGACACACTCCCACCCCGACCCCTCTTGACTGCTTCTCAGGGAACCGGGGCTTCAAATCTCTGGGTAGGGTCCCCGTTAACGGAGTGAGGCAGCCCTTCAAGCCTCCATCTGGACATGGGAAGTCTCCGAAGCACGGTGGGGGTGGGGGTGGGGGTGCATTTCCTGGGCATTTCCACCCAGGGCCGTTGGGCAGTGTTCTAGGTAATTGCTCCAGTCCTCTGTTTCACACTGCAAGTAGAGATGTGGTTTCCTTAGCTCCGTCTCTCCAATTAAGCCCATCAGCTCTGGGGGCGGTGGGGGGAGCATGGGGGTGGGGGTGGTGTTTGATTTGATTCGGTTTGTTGTTGTTGTTTTTAATCCTCTGGTTTTAATTTGACACTTTTCCATCTCGCTCTTTCTGTGGTCTTGTCACCATTTTCCAGTGGTGCCATACAGCGGAGTGACTATGTGGTGGAACAAAGGCGGCACTATTTGTTCTCAACAGCTCTGCCCATGAAAGCCCGTGTTTTGCCCCATGGGAGAAGGGTTTTGTTGTGGGCTTCTTTAATCTCCGCTCCGGGGAAGTTTGCGCGGAGCCTGCCCGCACCAGGGCTGCACGTGGAAATGCTCGGTGAGCGCGTAGGCAAGCAGCAAAGTCCCCAGTGACAGCTGCCCTCCCAGGGCCACTGCCACCAGGCCTGGCAAGTTGATGACTTCCACTTCAGCACAGTTCATGTGAGCCCAAGTCACCTCGGGCTCTGGGGAAACCATGCCAGGGTTAACTGCTTGTAGTCAAGCGAATGGTTGGGAAAACTGGAACGTTGTCAGGTGGGCTTTGAAATCGAACTAAGGACAGTACCACCCTCCTCCCCCCACCCCCACCTCCCCCCACAGAATGTACCCTCCCCTTGTTTTATCCCTCCTTCTGGCAGTTCTGAAACTGACCACGTTTGCAATCCAGTCCCAGTCTGGAAACACACCTGCTTCTTTCTAAGTCACCCGTCGGTGTGATTGATAAAGGAAGCTCGGATGAGCAGGACTACGAGTGGGTTGGATTTGTCCCTGAGACCTGAGGCTCCTGAGAAGAGTCCTTCTGACTTCCTGCACGCCCAGGCAATGCAGGCCAGCGGCAAGACAGGCTCGCAGCCCTTGGAGGGAGCCAAGCAATGGATGGGAACCCACCTCCCTTTGTACCCTGCTTCTCAGCCCTGCCCGGGTGGGAGGAATACCTGTGTCCCAGACTTTTCAGCAGACCCTGTGCAGCCGCCCGGGCTGCTCCGGCTCATTGTGGAGCCACGCGGTGCGGGGTGACAGGCAAGTTGAAAGACTTGGCGGCAGACAAAAAGCCCGGCTCCCCCTCTCTGCCTGTCCATGTCAAAGACACAGTTGGTGGTTGTGTTTGGGTCATGTGTTCCCTGTATGAAAACAGCTAATTAGGAAAAAGAGCCCTCTGTTCCCGGCCCCCTCCGCCCCCCCACCCCTGGCTGCGGGGCCCCGGCTCTATGTATCTTATAACGCCCACACGATCCTGGGCACAGAGAATGGGTGCGGGGGTCTGTGTGGGAGCCTTGCAGGCTGACCGACACAATGATCCCGTGGGGCGCACGCTCACCTCTTCCCAGATCAGCCCCTTTCAAAGGTAGTTGACTCCTTTCTTCTCCCTAATTCCTTTTCAGAGAGAGAGAGAGAGCTGTGAATCAAGGTAGCTAGACTTTTTTTCTTTGTTGCTACCACTGCCATGGCAAGTGTCAGTCTCGGGCAAAATGAGTCCGAAAAAGGTAGGCAGACAGGCCGGCGATGAACTTTCAGGCCTGGTAGAGCTGAGTGTTGCACGCAACGTTTCTACTGACATAGAGATGCACTGCTCTAGCCATATGCAGACACATCACATACACATAATGCACGCATGTTGCTGCTGCTGCTGCTGTTAGGTGTGGTCGAGTCGAATCCGGCTAAGCGTGACCTTATGCACAACGGAACGAACCACCACCCGGCCCTGCGCCGCCGTCCTAGCCTGCAGTGTCTCCGTGCTCCCCCTAGGACGTGCACTGGCATAGCGCCTCCGAATGGGGACAGACCGTTCTTTCCTGAGAGTCTTTTCTGAGTCTGGAAGCTCTCCGGGAACCTGTTCACTTTGGGTGACCCTGCCGGCATTTGAAATACCGGTGACATAGCCTTCCGCATCACAGCAACACACTAGCCCCCACAGTCTGACAAAACTGACCGACAGAATGTGGTGCGTATACATGTATACAAGTACACACACACACACCCTGCTTTCCTCTGACAGATCTGCTTTCCGTGCCGAGGACAGCCGAGTCTCAGGTGAGTGCTGGCCTAGTGACCCCTTCACACTCTTTTCACCTCCCGCCATTTACTTCACCTTTAAGAAGGGTTGGAAGGCAACAATCGATCCAGGAAGAACCTTCCACATGAAGCAGTTGGAAGGCTAGGCCCGAGTCTGGCAGCTGAGGGGGCCAGATGACACGCCATCGCCCGTGTTTTCCCCTTTCTCACGTGTGGGTTTTCTGGTCCAGCATGGAAGGTTCACCCATTCAAGGCACCAGCCCAAATGGCCACTGGGTCACTGGGGAGCTTGCTCAGTGAGACGCCAGGACAGGGTGCCCACAGCATCACTCAGGCCGCCAGTGGACACTTGTGCTCGAAGCACTTACCGATGAAGGTCTAAGACTGGCGCCTGCAGCTCACTGTAAAGCAAACAACCTGGACGCTCAGCACAGGACCCCGGAGCCACACCGGGATAAGCAGCCAAAGACTGACGTTGCCCAGGGTTCCGTTTGACTTGGATCCACAATGGACGCTCGGGGAAGCAGCAGCAAGAATCCCCATCGCTGCATGTGACACCCGGACAATGACCGAGGGAAACCACGGAATTACGGTGTTGGGGAAGAATATTGACTCAACTACGGACTGCTAAACGAACCCATTACATCTGCCTCGGAAGACTTCTTCCAGGGGAAGACTTCTTCCAGGATGCTCCTTTGAGTCGAGAATGGAAAGACTTTATCATCCTCCCTTAATTGGAGCATGCTGTCGGGAAGGTCCACCCCGCGCACGGCATGCTGGGTAAAGGACAGAGGCGTGGCTTTAGAGAAGAAGACCCTGGATGAGACAGACAGAAGCTGTGAATGCAACGCTGGGCCCAACCAATGCGACGACTGTGAGGACGGCCCGGGACCAGGCAGCATTTCACAGTGTGGCACGCAGGGTCGCTCTGAGTTGGAACTGACTGGACAACACTCAACAACGGCAACAGCGGCTTTACTCTCCCTGAGCTCCAGCAGGGGGAGAAGGGATCGGCCACCTTCTGCAGCACACGGAGTGGCCCCGGGTCGTCGGCATCGACTTGACTGGCCATCGTCGGGTTTTTTTGGTTTTGTTTTTAATTCAGAAGTGGAAGCAGAGTGCTAGAGAGAGGAAGAAGGGACTTGCTCGAGGGCTCACAGTTCAGTGGCAGAGCGCATTCAACTTGGAATGGTCCCCGTGTGAAAATGCGCGTTCTTTCTGCCAGGTCACCCCGCCGCCGCCGCCGCCGCCTCTACCACCTTCCCTTCACCGTCCAGTTGCCACAGTTGCATGGGCATCTCGGCGCCCCCATAGGTGGCACAGGAGAAGTGTGCTTCCACACAGTTTGGGGTGGGTGTCCTCCCAGGCACCTCTGGGTGGGCTGGAGCCACCAACTACCAACCGGGTGTGTGTGCGCAGGCAGAGTCTCCGCAGTGCCCAGGGGCAAGGGTCATGACAAATCCTGACCGTGGTCCTGGAAGGCCTACTGCAGGGTAGCTGTTGTATCCGGTTCAGGGAGCACGCGCTCCCGTGTAGTTCTCATGTACGTAGTGACAGGAACTTTTGTCCTGCTTCATAAGACACACCAAAACACGGTTGGTGCCAAGTTGATCTCAACCCAGGGTAACCCCAGTGCTGAGAACCAAACTGAGCTCCACTGGGTTTTTGTTTTTATTTACTTGGTTCTGTTGTTGTTGCTAAGAATGTACCCGGTTTACACACCCAGCTCAACCATCTCTACGTAGACAGTTGAGTGGCACTGAAACCATGCCCAGAGTTGGGCGTCTACGATGCCCTTCCTTTCTGAGCCGCTCTGTCCCCTTAAACGCATAGCCCCTCTAAGGGCATATGTTCCCGGACTAATGTGACCCACCACCCCTTTTTCAGAAAAGAAATGTTGACTCAATGTCTCAGTGTCTCTAAATGACTCGATGTCACCTGGCAACCAAAACCTTTTTGTGTGTGTAAT